CTCCTCTCTGCAATAGTCATTATGAATGTTGATGCCTAATTTAAGTGGCTTCCCTTTAAGGGGACTTTTTTGGGGAGCCCTGGTGGTGGTACAGTGGTTAAGAGCCCGGCTGCTAACCGAAAGGTCAGCAGTTAGAATCCACCAGCTGCTCCTTGGAAACCCTATGGGGCAGTTCTACTCTGTCCTCTAGGATGCGACAAGTCAGAATCGACTCCACGGTGACAGATTTGTTTTTCTGGTTTAACTGTCCTTGGTAGTGAGGCTCTCTCACATTATAACCCAATGTGAAGATGGCAACACCTTTAAGGGAAGGCAAAGAAGAAACCTGGGGAAAAATAAGAGCCATTCTGCTTGCACTACTGAGAAGAAAATCAGTGAAGGCTTCTCCGAGGGTGTGAGGTCCAAGTAGGGTTTTGAAGGATGAGTAGAAGTTAGTGAGAAAAGCAGGAGGTGGAGAAGGATGAGCCTGGTAAAAGGCGGAAAGTATCTGCAAAGGCCCAGGGGCATGGAACAACATGAATGCGTGTGTGGGGGGCTGTTAGTGGGACATTTGGAAAGTCCTGTCACAGTCTGTAAATTTGAGGATGGGACGCAGTAGCGTCTGTGAAACACGTGGCGTCTAATATGTACTGCCTCCTCACCAGCTCCCTAAACCCACCTGGCTCTTCGACAACATGGGAGAGACCACGCTGGGACTCAGGCCAGGTCGGCTGATTCTGAAACCCTTCCCCCTGCTCCCCCTCTCTTCCACCTCCCACCCCCGGTCCCAGTTGTTTTCTTCACTGGCTGGGGGCCAGGGGCTTCTCCAAATGTCCTCAGTTAAGCATGGAGGATGCAGGGGAGACCCTGGCCCAGGCAGGGACCCCTGGGCCCAGCCAGGCCACCTCCACAGCCAGGAGCCCTAAGGAAGGGCTGGCGGTTGGGGCCGGAACAGAGCACGGCCACATCCCCCCACCCAGACCCGCTCACGACTGTCAGGGCTTTGACCTTGATGACTTGGGAGCTGCCGAGCTGGAAGATGCGGTCCTTTCGGGGTGCCTGTTCTGGGATGTCTGTGGGAGCTGCCTTCTGGTCACTGCTGCTCCGGAGCTGCTTGGGGGTCCCCGATTCTGCCTTTGAAGCTTCCCCAGCTGGGCAGGGGACAACAGGACGGGAGTGGGCAGGGGCGAGGGCGGGTCAGAGGGGGAGCAGGGCAGGAGTAAGAGTGGACCCATTTGTCATCAGAGTCAGGTGTCTGGGGGTTAAAGTGATGCCATTACAGGGTCAGGGCTGCGGTGAGTCTATGGTTGAGGTCAGGGTCTGTGGCTTGGGGATCTGGGGTGAGCTTGAGGTCAAGAGTGGGCTGGAGTTTGCGCCAGGAGCGGCGGGCTCTGGTGAGGGTTCCGGGCTGAGGTTGCAGCTGGGGCCGGGGTGGGGTGGAAGGGTCCTGTGGTGGCCGCAGAGACTCACCTTTCTGGCGCATAAGTAGCTGGTAGAGGTGGCCCATCCCTTCCAGACTGGCGTGCTGGGTGGCCCTGTCAGGGTCCTGGCACAGAATCCCCAGCGTGCCCACCAGCTGCCCAGTCCATTTGAACTCCTCTTTCGGCTGCAGTGAAAGCGCAGAGGGACCACTGATGTGGAACGTACCCCTGGAGCCCCCACCCTGCTGCAATTCACCCCAGTACTGCCACTGTGCGACTGGATCCCTTGAACTGTGTGGCAGGGTTGGCACTAGGGTCAGGTGAAAAATTTAAGGGGGTTCCAAAACACTCAGTGATCAAGAGAAATAATAGTTTAATGCAATATTTAAAAAAATCAAAATTAATGCAGAAAATCCATGATGAACAAAGTACCAACATTTTAAATGAAATAGGGTCTGCCCCTACACTTGCATGACCCTGCCTCACTTGCCTCACCCTAATCCTGGCCCTGGTTCCAATAAAACTTTATTTAC